ACAAGGTGCTGTGCACAAGCTAAACATACCTGCCAAAGCTAAGTTCTCCACCAAGATACACCAAAAACCTCTAACACTGCTGCAGAAGAAGTTTCTCCATGAAAGCATCAACAAGATGCTTGAGGCAGGCATCATAGAGCAGTGCAACCCAAGGGATGTCAAGTGTGTATTGCCAATGATGTTAGCTCAGAAAACACACCAAGGAGTGAGCCTCACACTCAAGGAATTACAACATAGGGTGAATGACAAGTGTATCACAAATGGTATGAACACTCCTTTCACATTACCTCCAAGACCTGACCACGTTACAAGCAACATTACTGAGAGAACAGAGCAAAAATGGAGGATTTGTCAGAATTTTGTGTAAATCAACAAAGTCACCCAAGTTGCACCAATGCCACAAGGCAATATACGAGTCAAGCAACAGTGCCTCAGTGGCCACAGATGGGTCTCTACATTTGACTTTGCAGCAGGATTCTATGCTTGCAAGATGGAGGAGGCCTCCAGACCATTTAGGGCATTCTATGTGGAGGGCTGAGGGTACTTCTGGTACAAACAAATGCCATTTGGATTAACGGGGGCACTATTGACATTCTCACACATAACAGCAGTTGACCTACATGATCTGCTTGTGCATGACACCATGGAGACCTTTGTGGATGATGGCGGGTCAGCAGCAGACAACTTTGATGAAGGGATGAATAAGCTGTGGCCTGTCCTGTCTTGAGCAAGGATATGAGGACTATCCATCTCAGCAAGTAAGTCTAAGTTTTTTGTGTTGACTGCAGTCTTTGCTGGTGCCACTATAGGACTGAAGGGTGTACAACCCAACCTCTCAAAGCTCACAGCAATAGTGGACTGACCCTGCCCAGAAAATGCACTAACACTGTCAGCCTTCTTGGGTGACATTATGCTAGGATTGAACAGCTCCTTTGTGACTTGATTAGAGGAGTCCAATTGCCAGATAAGTATTCAAAGACAGTGTACAGGAGAGTGATGTCTAATTACAAGCTAGAGATGTGGAGCCATGTTCACACAGCTGTTTTCCTCAAGCTGAAGGCCATCATGACTTCAGAACCAGTGCTGCAAGGCCCAAAATGGGATGGGTCACCATTTGTGGTCACAACAGATGGCTCAAAGGATGCATTTGGAGCTGTCATAGCACAGCCATTCACCACAACACTAGAGAGTGGGCAGACAGTAATGAAACTACACCCAATCACATTTACCTCAAAGAGGACATCCAGAACTGAAGAGAAATACAAGCCTTTTCTGCTTGAGTTTGCTGCACTCAAGTTCAGATTGGACAAATTCTCAGATGTTGTCTGGGGCTTTCCAGTAGAGATCAAGACAGATTGTCAGGCCTTGCAAGACCATCTGATGAATGAAAAGCTGAGTGCCACACATACAAGGTGGCATGATAGCATCCTGGCTCACCAGATTATAGATGTCAGACATATACCCAGACATATCAATGTTGTTGCAGATGGGCTGAGCAGAGCTGCAAAAGGTGAACCAAGGGCTGCAGGGGATGGGAGCAATATTTGAGGATTGGGAGGCAATGACAGGACTATACCATGACATTTTTTTTTGTGAAACAGTTGCCGTGCACCTAGGAGGAAATGACCCAGCTGCATAAATGCTTCAAAAATGTACCCATGCTGATCAAAGTGGTGAATGCCCTGCTGGACCTTGATAATGACACAGACTTGAGAACAAAGACCAGGGCACATCATTGAGCCTTGGGATACATTATTGAGAATGGGAAACTATGGCAACTAGCCTTGGGACACAAGATACGAGCCTAAACATGAGTCAAGTGTGTGACTGGAAAGAAGCAGTCCAGCTTGCATATGAGGAGCATGCAAATGGGGGCCACTGGCAATGCAACCAAGTGAAGAAAGCTTTAATGGACTGAATATGGACCCCAGGATTGGATAGCACAGTTGTGGAGGGGATTTGCAACTGCCTAGTGTGCAAGAACTTTGGGGGTACACATTTGAACTTCCTGCTCAAATCCATCACACAAAGACATCCTTTTGAACTTGTGGTAGGTGACTATCTGTCCATGCCCAAAGGAAAAGGAGGGTTTCATACAGTAGGCTTGTACTTGGATTATCACTCGCAGTTCATGTGGGGCTTCAAGTTCAAAATGGCAGGCACAGCCAAAACAACATCAGACAGCCTTAAAAAGATAGCGATGACTTTCATACCAGGAGAGGTCTTCATGTCAGATGGCAGAAAACATTTTAATAATGAGCTGGTGCATGATACATGCACAAAGTGGGGGACAAGAACTCATGTCATTTCTGCATACTCACCCTGGGTGACTGGGCTTATTGAGGAGGCAAACAAAATCTTGCTGCACATCTTGAAGAGATTGTGTGCCCGAGGCCTAGGAGAAGATGAATATGAGGCCATGACAAAAAAGGACATACCAGATTGCTGGCCTGACCACTTCAACACTGTGATCAGCATCATGAACTGCAGACTACTCCTGACACTAAAGTTCTTGCCAAGGGAACTCATATTTGGCATGGTGGTTAACACCAGACCCACTCCTGTAGACAAGAGTATGCTTCCCATGACTCAAGCAGATGCAGAATTACATATGGCATATGTGGCACAGCAATGCTTGGACAGGTATGCAGAAGCCATCAGCAATGCACTGAAGAGGAAGGAGGCTTTTAACAAAAAAGTATTCAAATGCAAACTAGGTGAGGTAGTTTTTATTCCAAGTGATTTAGTTCAGATCTACCAGAGCAATCTAGACTACACATTCAAAACAGAGCAGAAGCTGTTGCCCAAGTGGTCACAACCTCACCACATTACAGTGCATAACCTCAACTCATACAAACTGGAGACTCTGCAAGGAGTTGCAGTGGCTGGAGACTTCAGTGCATGGAGGTTGAGGCAGTTCAAGCCAAGGGAGGGGACAAGGTTTGCAGAGGAGGAGGCAGCATGTAGAGGGAGGGGACTGCATGGAGAGGTTCCAGACATGGAGGTTTTGACTATGGAGGCAGTGTGGACATCGCCACAAGAAGGGGGGGCACATGGAGTATCACCTTGTGATGCTTCTTTGCAAGAGCACATAGACATAGTGGACATTGTTTGTACATGTTTTGCAGGAGCTTTGGCATAGTGTACAGATCCAGACTTGTAGACAAAAAGTAAAAGCAGAACAAGGAGCTTTAACCTGGATCCTCCTTCCTTTTCCCAGCAAGACCACTCCAGCATCATCTACCAGAAAGCATCAAAGAATGTAGTTACTGCATGGTGAACAGTTGCAGTCCATGAAACATCCTGGGAGCAGTGCTCATGTGTCAATGGGGTGCTGCATTATTGACATCTCTGCAATGGCTGGTAAGGACAGCATGTACTGGAAAATTGAAGAAAAGATGACTTACACCATATCATCACTTTTGAAGGGCACCACAAACATTTTGAAGATCTGCTTCCCCTGACTTGCTACTTCAAGAATCCAAAAAGCAAGGTGTAGACCAGCTTCACTCTCACCTGCACCTCCTCACTTGCTTTCACAACTGGAGGATTTACTGGTGCCTTCCTCTTCACAGGTAGGGCTTCTTAGAAGGAAGGCATATGTGCGTGGATCACTGCACATGGCCAGGTGAGTTGGAGGAATGCCTAGATAAATTTGCTTCATAGCTTTATCAGCAGTGGCTTGGAAGGCTGATGTGTATGATCCTACAGCTATAGCTGTGAGTGAGAGAAGACAAGAGTTGGGAGATCAGCTTACTGTACTACAAGGTGCATCTCTCTGCATAACTCAGGCCACAAGTGAAGATTCTCTTAACCACATGCCCCATCTTTGCCTTTAGCTATGTAAATCCCCCTGTATCTTGCTATGAAGCACTCAAAGTTACATAGATGGGTGCATACATGTACATGAATAGATCAACCACAGGACACTTGAGTGCCCAATGTTTGCACCCTTATTTGTCTGGCTTTCCTCACAATTGAGGACAAGGTTTGTCTACTTCACAACAAACTGAGGAAGCTGAGGTTGGAGTTGGAGCACAGCAAGGTTAAGCCAGTGGAGATGATGTAGTGGGATGAGGGCAAGAAAGGGGGCAAGAGGACATGGGAGGGCCACTGGAACAATAGGGAACCAATGTACATCCATCCAAAGGCTATGACTGCTTTCAACCAAGCAAGGTTAGTGAAACCACCCACAAGGATGCAGAGCATGAGCTGTCATTGTAAAGTGTGAGTGAGAGTTGATTTGGGAAGAGAATGAGAAACACTGATTTTGAGATGGTTGAGCTAGCCAGAGCCCCCACACCCCACTTCTATCAATAAGTAACTGGAAGGCCCCTCCACAAAGTTCAGTGCAGTGTACCAGTGCAACTGCCACTCACAGCTGCAATGACAGCTTTTCTGAGTTTGGGTTCATGTTGATAAAGATGCCTGTGTGCATTGCTTCAATTGTTAAGGATGGTGGAAGTAGTCTGACAAGGGCCTGATGACAACATGCAGAACATTGGCCATGACATCAAGCATGTTCATAAGGTTGGGATGAAGGCTTGGCCTTGCAGGGCACAAGCAGGTAGAGGTAGGTGATGGTGGCTGCAAGGGATCATTTGGAGAGGTGGAGAGTCAAGGAGAGGGAGCTGAGAGTTGCATGGTTGAGAATAGATCAGGCAGTGTATGACATCAGCCCCCAGTGGTCAAGATGACTGCTATGTGTATCATGGCCATGGTGATGCATTGAAGGATGTTGGAGAAGTCTGTCTTGTTGTCAATGCCTTCAGTGCCTCATCTAAGAACAGCCCAAGTTTGTTTGTGCTATTATTGCTGCCTGTATCTGTGATGGCCACACTCATGCATGATTAGGGACATTGGTCAAGGTAAGTTGATGTTGATGCATTTGATACATTGATGTCAGATCATGTGGCCTTGAACATTTGAACATCAATCATTGATGTGCCTCATTCTTGCTTCCTGTCTCCATAATGGTTTATAGTCCATCCCAAAGACATGGCCATGTGGCAAAATGGCATTGTGTCTGACTACAATCCTCAGTCAGTATCAGGAGATTGCAGGTTTGACTCCTGTCTTAGTCAATGAGGGTGGAGGTAAACTACTTTTGAAAGCTGTGCAAAAAATACAGATTGAGTTCAAAGACTGTATATGTATACACTTTGAGGCCTGGCACTGGGCAAGGTGTGGTTTGACTGCTTCCTTAGTCATACTTTCCCATTTGAGATCATATCTCATATTATTTTCCTCCTCTCTGATGATACAATCTCTTATTCAGGATGCCTGCACTTTCCCTCTTAGGCCTTGGGCATGCTGTATTCATCTCATTGTGGACGGGCATGATATATCTTATGGATCTTCTTTGGGCAGTGACAGATCACATTGTCCTGCTCTCCGCTGTATTATTTAGGCCACAATCACATTCACATTCTCTCCATTGCATTCCCATTTATCCCCAGCAACTACATGACTTTGACCAATCTTCAAACACACTAGCAATGACAGTGTCCAGATCTTTGTGCCCAAGATGGGCATCCACCCCATACCCTGAACCTCTGAATGTCATTGTGAAGATTCCTGAAAATGACAATGCCATCCAAATCTCAGAAGAAGCTAGACTTCTATATCAACAACTTGAAGGATTTTGGGGTTATGTATCTAAGTTGTATGGCTATTACAGTGATAGGGACTAGTATGGGTGTACAGTTCTTCAGTATTGTGAGGAGGCAGCTGTTGGACTACCTGTCAAAGCTGAGTCTTTTTCAATATAAACATATAGATAAAAACAAATGGAACTAAGTGAAATTATTTGTAGTGCATGGTCAACTAAACCTATAAGATAGAACACATGCAACTGCTCTGGAATATAGATTTTTTGCAACTGGCACAGAAAGATATGTTGCATTTGATGGTCTCCTATACACACATAATGGGGAGTGATCCTAGCTTATCAAACTGCAAGACCTGATTATTAGTAACATTGTTGCAGTTCTTTCAGTGCATGTAGATAATCAGTTGGGTTGGTAACTGCCCATTCCCTTCCTTTCTCATTGTCAGACATTTGAGTAGGTTATTGACATCTTTGGACATCCACCCATGAAGAGTCAATAATTCTAGGCACTGAAACAAAGGAGATATTTTGCCCTGCCACCCCTGAGAAAGAGCAGAGAGAAATTTGTGGGTATTTATTTGACCAATTAATGTCAAGGTGTCCCACATGCAATTGTCTGATGTGTTCCCATTCTTCTGCAACAAGTGTTAACCCATGAATGCATATGTGTTTCAGGTGGAAAGAAGAAAACTGCTGCTGTAAGATGATGCCTCCAAAGTGCATTCCATGCAACTCTTCACATATAATTACACAGGCTGGTGGGTTGCATTTCAGATTCCAAGCTCCAACTTGGATGGGGAAAGAGGTGAAGATCAAAATTTGATTGATTGGCTTCTCCTTTGGTATGTTTCCTTTAATGGTCATTGCCAATTTCTGCATGAGGGAAATGTTCCCCAGCATGTCTTCCCAATGGCTGACTCTAACCTTGGTATATGGGTAGGGTGCGTGGGTGATGTGTTCCAGGAACTGGACAGATCCTTCAACATCTGAACTAAGTACAATTTTTCGTAGGCAGGGTAGATTGGCAATGGTAGAAAAGGCCCTGCCAGACATGAAAGTCTCATAGAACTTCACTTCCTCGAGATATGGTGTGGTGGTTAAGTATTTGATAGTATCTTCCACTGACAATGTAGAGGGGGTATTGGTAATTGTGAGGAATTTGAGGTTGGGACAGGTATTACATGACCAGTCAAGTAGGCAGCCATGAAGCTTGAGACTTGTGAGATTTGTGGCACGTCTGGAAAACAGATTTCCTTGAAAAGAGGAATACCTTCAAGGAAAATTGAAGGAGATATAGCACATTTCAAGTTGCATGGTACCCATGGGGGTGTCAGATTGTGGGGGAGTCTCTGGAGGACTGGGAGGGCATTTCAGCTTGTCCATGAAGGCAAAGGTGGAGCCACAATAGGAAAGTGATAAGTGCTTAATCTACCACAAGCATGTGAGAGCAAGTTCAATTAGTTCGTCATCCTCTTTGCTATACGTGGTGCCCCAAACTGTAAGCAGGACACCATATCTCAAGCCTTCCACATGTGAGCATGTCAATGTTGTCTCTACACAGTCAAAGGATCCAGGTGAATAATGAAAGCACACAACTCTGTTCCAAAGGGAATGGCAGCCAATGATGAATTGCCACAAAAATTTACAAATGTGAATTATTCTGATTCAGGAAAGGTTGCTTCGGAACCTGTGCAATGATGTTGAGCTTGTGGAAGTCAAAGGTGGAGGGTCTGACTTTCTACATAAGCAAAGGGCTTGTTTCTTATCCAATCTGTCTTCCTGCAAGTACTTCATGAAGTCCATATTGCATTGAATATCATTGTCCGGTTGAGTGAGTTCAACAATGTAGACAAGAAGCTCTGGGGGAAGCTGACAGAAAATGCTTTGCCTTTGCTGATAGATCATTTTGATGGAGGGCAAACAGATATACTGCTCAGATGTGCAATCCTTCTCAGTGAGACTGTTCAAAATTGCCACAGTGCCTGAGGATAACATTAGTCAATGACATTGAATTCCACAAACTTGCAACACACTGATACCAGTATCCATTGAATGCTTGGGGTGACAATAGGGAATCTCAAAAGTTGGGGTGATTTATCAGAAGCACAAGCCTGGTAGCTTTTAAAGGTGAACAATGACAGTGCTGATGTGGCCATGAGAGACCTTGTCACTTGAATGTTGTATCCCCAGGCGCTTAAACAAATGCACAGACCACAACCTGTTGCTGTGCCATGAGACTCGCCTTGTGTTGGAGTAGATAGCAATCAACACAAAAATGGAAAACAATAGGCACAAAGAGATTTATGGCTTATAAGTCACTGCTCAAAAGATGCTGTTTGTGACATCTCTGGAGATAGTTACAGACTTTTTGGAAAACCTTGTCCATGTGTATTTTTGTGATGAAACAAATTCAAAAATAGAGAAAAAATAGAATTAATTCAAAAAAATCATTGAACATCACTTTCCATCATTTTAACACCCTTCAGACTGCAATGGGTCTGGTGTATTGAAAGATCAGTGCTGATATAAAGCAATGGGTGCTTCAACTTATGGATTTGGGTGGGAATATGACCGTATCCCTGATGCTCTTGGTGTTTCGTCAAAAAGCATCGAGCGATGGCCAAATAACTACACTCATGGCTGCGTTGACCCACGGTCAGTTCTTCAAGGCCATCCACAACTCCTATCACCAGATGTGATAGAAGACCTCGAGGAGCTGATCCTTGAGTCCCTAACCCTCTTCCACAATGAGATCAAAGACTGGCTGGCCCTCTCCATGATCTTCATATCTTATAGAATTGTCTGCCTGACCAAGATGCCTGGTACTGATTTTGTGAGAGGGTTTTGATACAGAGATGAGGACAGGCAGTGCATCAGCATCATTGGCATTCAAGTTGTTGTCATCCAAATTGACTTCCACCACATCAGGTTTAGGTTGCACATCTGGTACAGGTTGGAGACCCTTGGAATGTCTCTTGTTCTTTTCCTGTTTGCTTGGGTCATTGCTGCTATCAGATTTTAAAGTATGTGTGGGCATCATGGTCAGGCTATGTGTCCTCTTGCTGACCAGTTTCCTATCAGCAGATCCCCTGGAAGGAAGCCGAATCATCAAGCCTTTGGACTTTGCCAACACAACATCATAGTAGCATCACCTGTTCAGAGGAATACCATGTCAGAGGTATGTCAATCAAAAGGCCCTATATGTTCATCACTCACGATGAATAGCCAGCTCAGTCTCAGTCTCAGTCTCCACTTCCTGGGCATCCATCATTAAGGAACGATACACAGGCTTGC